TTTTTTTTTCAGTTGAAAAAATTCTAACATATCAGATTTGGTGTATCATGGATAATATTTTCATATAATTTTTGGCCTTTTTATTTCTGAATAAAAAGATTGGAAATTAATCAAAGTCTTTCAAATTATTCATATTATATTTAAAGGTTGTCTTAAATATATGTCCAGTCTTGATGGTCAATGAAAGGATTGACGTTAAATGTCGAAATAAATATCACGGCTTATACCCGGGCGTATACATATGTTTAGTGATAACTGTGAAAATTTCCTCAAAAGACGATGTCAAGATGGATATAAATAAATATATTTGTACATAAAAAGTAGAAAACCTAGTTACAAGTTGCGTGGCTTTTTCTTCATTTATTCTATTTATATTTGTACATATAGGTAGAATGAAATAATAAAAACACCAACTTGAAGCTATAATATTTCTGTTATATATATATATATTTTTTTCTCGTTGACTCTCAATCTTGTGTATAATTTAAGTTATTTTTTGTGGATATATTAGTAGACTTACCTTAAAAAGATACTTTATGGCGTACGAATAGAACTAATTATTCCTGCTTTTACACTTTTTTGGTGGTAAGTTACCTTCTTTGAAATAGCCTAACTAATTCCCTTGACGAAATTTTCACTTTTCAATCTGAAAGAATCGTTTTAAGTTGATCTGCGCAACTAAGCACAAAATTGTTTGGTCTTATCGTTCCTTTAAACACACAAGTTGATATCCGCAAACTTAGCAATATATTTGTACATGGCCAGACCGCGCGTAAACAATGCTTATTAAAACAAGAAAGAGTGCTGGGATTGGTTACAGCTTTTTGCGCATCCAATCAGATTGCTTTAAACACGAACTTTGACTTCCCATGCAAATACATACCATTGATAATCGGCGTGATAAATAAATAACTGGATTGTAGGTAGTTGATATTGGCGTTGAGTTTAAGGAGGTAAAAGATATACTGCTTTTTAGCTATAATAATAATTTAAACAGTTGGAACTGGATAGATTCATTAAAAAGAAATCTAGTTGGTATATTTTTTGTGTGTACAATCAACGTTAAAAAGTGTTATTTTTTTTTATTCGGAAGGTCAACTTTTTTTGGCTGGTGGTTTAAAGATGCCACAAACAAGACGCGAAAGCAAAACGCGCATAAAATATTAATATATGACGTCAATTCATGCTGACAAATCGATAACAAGCAATATGTATAAGACTTGAACAAAGTGTGTCTTCACAAAAAGAAAAATATATTTATTATCCGGAGAAACAAAACATAATAACAAAGTTATAAAGAATGAATAAAAAGAGAATAATAGATATTGAATTTAGATCTAGCGAGAGCTCGAAACAACCCGGGAAAGTCACCAGGAAGCTTAGAGTAGAAGCTAAAATTAACTGAAAGAAACGGAAGGAAATGATATATCCGTTATCCGCTCATATTTTCAATACCAGCTTCGACAAATATTTTTTACCCTCGACTAGTCAGTGAGTTTCTACACATACAAATAATATTTCTACATTTCATGGGAATAATATACACAAGGGAAGCTAGTAAGTCTCAAGCAAGAACTTTCTTGCATCCACTTCATAATAATAATAAAAAAAACGACAATGAAGTGAACTAATTATGATTTGCGGAAAAAATAGATATTCACTGAAAAAATAGAAAGCGCGGAAAAAATATGTAATATGTAAATATGTAAAAATAGTAAATGAAATGGAGGATGGTTGAGCAAGAAACATTTTTTTTTTGAAAGCTAACTCATTTTAGACGCCTTGTCGTAGCAACAAGGCCACCCTTGTGAGAATTTCGTGAGATTTTTCTTGGTTTTTAGATCCATAACACTTTGTGTATTAGTCCTGGTTGTATCACTGATCTTGTTATCATATTTTCTTCACACCGCGTCGACAAATTTAAATCCTTGTTCTTTCAATCGCTACATAGACCAGAAGGTTTTAAATCCATCCCACACGATTGGCTCTGATTTTTGTGTTTCCCAATTTCTTGAAAAAACTATCAATTTWAGAGATTTATTTTTGACTATTTAAGATCACTTTTACACTAGATATATAGATAATTGATTCAAGAAACATTTAAACAAYATTTGATCAATTTTTAAATACACCTCTGCCACCAGTTGAAACTACTTGTCAAATTGGGCTTCCTGTGTAGAGGTCAGCGGTAATATGTTGCACCACAACATTGAAACAGAGCTCGAAACAGTTCTTGGAAGTTTTCATTATTTTCTCTTGATTTTTATAAACACTGGACACATTTTATCTAATTAATGGCTAAAGGAAACTCAGTAAAGAGCAAAGGACAGAAAAAAGAGGATTTAGAAAGGAAAAGAGACGAAAGAGCGCGGCGAAGAGTCGTAAAGAAAGAACGAGAAATCAAAGAATATTTAGAAAACGATGAAAACTTTGTTAGTTTTAAGAACCAACTTGAAGCAATTGGATTAAAGATAAAAGATATTCTTGGCGATGGGTAAGTACACTATAATGGCTGTTATTTATTCTCTTTATTTTCAATGCTTTTAGTAACGTAATAAGCAAAAAAAGAAATGAAATTAAGTTGTTTCCCACTTGACATGAAAGCTTARGAATCTGCTTATGTGTGACTAATTTTTCTTCATAAGCAGATCAGAAAGATAAGGGATTTGAAAGGTTTTCTTATTATTCTTAAATCTCTTTTTCTGCTTAAGTTAAACCCAGTAGACCATACGTACAAACCCCACAGTTCTGCTTTTTATCGTAGTGTAACTGGCTTAATTACAACATTCCAAACTTTCTACTATAGGAAACGTCTAGATAATTTGCTGTGTATTTTCCATGTACAGCGAAACACATCTTATGGACAACTTTTAATAAGGTCACAYMATTATAMTGTCAATTTGTTTTGGTCCCTGCAAAKTTTTAAAAACCTTCATACATTTAATACACAGGATGTGGTTAAGTCAGGGAACTACAACAGTCTTTCTCAAGATTTTTCACACCAGTCCAATCATACTACACTTACATTGAACAATCTATAATATTGGCACCCTCTTTATRCATTGATTTTTCAATGTAACTTAGGTTGTCAGATTATAGAGTTTTTAATGTACTATCAAAAGAAAAAAAAATAGTAAAATTATTRTCTAATGYACAGTCAACTCTCTCGTTAACRAMCACCTCGGRATCAGGAAAAAGTCRTCGTTTACGAGAGATGGTTGTTTAYGAGAGAGTTTTTTTTATATTGTTTATATGGGAAACAATTATAACAGGAAATTTAAAAGGTGGTYRCTTACGGGAGRTGGTTGCTTACTTGAAGTTAACTGTATTAGATAAGAGCGATTAAAAAAACACAATTGATTGAAAAGAATAATGTTACAATTATAACAGGAATTGCCTATTCAGAGCATTAGGGGAYCAGCTRAATGGAGACCACACTGCACATGCCTACCACAGAMGAAATACAATCCAATATATGAAGGAACATCGCGAGGACTTTGAACCTTTCATGGAGGATGGCATATCATTTGAAAAACACTGTATGTTTATTAAAGAATGACAGTTTTGTTGTTCTAACTTATAAATATTTCTATTGAACTAGCAGGAAAATAGAGGTTTGAATTTACCCTTTCTAGCTTATTTTGAGGCTATTACGGCAACAATATRATATCAGCTTTCTCTTGGAACCATAGTATAAATAAATCAATGAATTATCGATGAATTATCTGTGAGAAAGGGTAATTTCCAGCCTTCGTTACCTTCCTTTCTAATCACTATATCTTCCCACTACTTCTATTTCATAAATACTCCATTTAACAATTTTCTAGCGCCATCTTGAAATAACTTCTTTGCATAAAAGCGAGACAGGAGTTGAGCCTGCAGTGATAGATACCTTTTCTTCACACCCAAGACAATTATTCACAGGTATCTATCATTGCAAGCTCAACTTCTGTCTCACTTTGATGCAAAGGGTCGGCTTACTTTCAAGATGGCGCTTGGAACTGAAAAATGGAGTATTTCAACCTCTGATACTTAGAGTAGATTTATAAATAATGTTGTGTAAAGAAAGTACGTGACATTACTGACGTTTCGGATGTTAATCCTTTGCCGAAACGTCTGTAAGTTATTTCACATACTTTTTTACGGTGATTTAAATTTATCTTTTTACACAACTGTTTCTTTAGAAACACCGACGCAGCTCACACTTGTTTACCGCTAGTTGCCACCATTATAAAAATAGGACTTTTTATTGTTTTTATTAGTAAAAGAATTATCCAAGCTGGGCACGTATGGTGGAAATGACTCAATAGTCGCCTTCGCACGTAATAATGGTCTCGATGTCGTCATCCATCAATTAAATAATCCACGGTGGGTTATACACGGCAGCGAATACTCAAAAACACCAGAAATCATTGAACTGCACTTAGCTTATCACAATGGAGAACATTATTCATCTGTAAGGAAGTTATCAGATCCCGGTGATGGACCAGCATGGCAGTATGATAGAAAGAACATAGCACAACCAATGGTATGTGTTGTTATAATTGATTCAGTCTACTCTTACGAATGCTCTGGTTGGTCCTTAAGGCGATTTTAAGCTGCATTTGCGCTATAGCGAGCAGGCTTCTACATTTTCCGTTTTTGAACTGCTTTGGGTTTGGCTTTGTTGCAAATTTTTCGTCGGCGGCGTTTGAAGAGTAGACGCTCTAAATGCGTTAAACAAATAATGTTGATAAGGCAATATAGGAACAAAAAGCGATTAGCACACTTTAGGTATTGTATCTCGAGTTGATGAAGCAAAAGCAAATTCCCGCCATGTTTGTCGACGGTCCCCCCCTTTTGAAAATTGCTGGATCCGCCCCTGCATTTAGTTCTTCGAATTATAATCGAAAGTGGACTGATAACATCCTATTTAATATTCTTAAATTAACAGCACAATAAAGAGACTGCAGCAAAATCAAATAATAAATCTAAAAAGAAAAAAGAAGCAAAGAAAAAAGACAAAGCGCCACAACAGCAAGGAGCTACAGCTTCGTCCCCTGCTGAGAACTGTGAGGGACTGGAACAAATTATAATAAATGCAACAGGTTGCAAGGTCAGTACTTTGTATCCAGACTCTCCCTGCATTTCACGCAACACTGCAATGAGAATGGCGATGTTAAATTCTTTATGCGTCGTTAGGGGAAAGGCCACTCATGACGCCGTCGTCGTTAAAGGAAAAAGCATTCATGACGTCATTAGGGGAATACCATTCATGACGTCATTAGGGGAAAGACCATTCATGACGCCGTTAGGGGAAGACCATTCATGACGTCATTAGGGGAAAGACCATTCATGACGCCATTAGGGGAATACCATTCATGCTGTCATTAGGGGAGAGACCATTCATGACGCCGTTAGGGGAAGACCATTTATGACGTCATTAGGGGAAAGACCATTCATGACGCCGTTAGGRGAAGACCATTTATGACGTCATTAGGGGAAAGACCATTCATGACGCCGTTAGGGGAAGACGATTTATGACGTCATTAGGGAAAAGACCATTTATGACATCGTGGAAAGGATCGTTATCATTTGCCATTAAGCATATGCTTTTCTCGCCATGTTTCCAATTTTTTGTGTTTATTCATCAATTTATTTTTATGAATTAATAAAATACAATAAAAATGCATAATAAATTTTAGCATGCAATAGGTGGTCTGCCTGTGTTTCGGTATACTGATTTAATCGATTTGCTTGATTCTAGGATTTGAAGCTTATCGCTGAGACACTCGAGGAAAACAACTTTGACGTGGATGCGTCCATTGGTTATGTATTACAGTTGATGAGTGTTATGGAAGACCAAGGTATGTTACAGCTTATCTCACATTAACGTTCTTATAGAGAAAAGAAACATTTATTCTGTAGTAAAACGAATGCTTATTGAACGGCCATGGTCCTCCAGCATTCAATGCAGTTATATTTTTAAATCTCAAAAGATTTTTCATATATTGAAAACGAGTTGAATTTAATATCCATATATTCGCAATCCATTTCTAACCTTCGGTTTTAAGATCCAATCTCACAATATCTCCATTCATAGAGCATTAAGGGATCATAAAGAGCAAGTTTTTGCTTATATTACGATAACTTTTTTCAAACATAAAGAAAACCTCCCCTGATTTTCGATATATGAAAAGTAAAAAGTACAAAACATGACCGCATTGAATGCTGGTTGGCCAAGTCCCTTTAACTGCAAATCTTACAAAACTACATGATCAATAGCGTCTGCGTAAATCCTACCAAAAGAATCCCGAAGTTCATTTTTAAATCGAAGATTTTGTTGAAGGGGGGACGAATCTGTCACTCACTCACTTTCCTGTAAAATTGAGCCTGCGGTACTTGTGTTCATAATGATTAATTTATTCTAATTGTTTTTCTTTTTCAGTGTCTTTCCTTTACAAAAAGGCGCTTGCTTGAACTGTAGACAAAAACTATCTAATGTATATTCATTATTTTGTTTATTTTAGATTATTCGCATTCAAGCAATACCTCATTAAATTCGTCCACTAATGTTGGAACCACAGAAGTCGAAGAACATCATTCGTCTTTATCAGAAATTGACACAGACACCGTTAAAAATGTTGAAAATATTACAGATAATAATGACTCAATAGTATCAACTGAACCAATCTGCAATGGCGATGAAAAAGACACGAATGCTTTAAATGAATTTGTAGATAATTTACGTGACAATTTAACAGTAGTTGAAGCAGACTCAGAGAAAAGTAGAAATAAAATGGTAAAACAAGGAGCAAGACCTAAAGAAAATACAAAAAAGAACTCTTCCAAAGCAGCTCCTCACTTGTCGAACAGACAGAGAAAGGAACTAGCAAAACAAGAGAAGAAAAAGCGCAGAGAAGAAAGGAGAAAAGAGGACGAGCACACTGAAGATGGTAGCAGTTTCAATATTAAAGATAATGATAGTTCGAGTTCACTTATAGCTGATCTTGGTGCAGTTTGTATTTGAATTAAAAATGCTGAAATTTTAAACGTCAAAATAGTGGTATTTTTATTCAGGCCATTCTGAATTTTTTGCCAGAAGCTAAAAAAAGAAAAAAAAAATTAAAAGAAGGAGAAGAAAAGAAAAAAGCGCTNGCAATACCTCATTAAATTCGTCCACTAATGTTGGAACCACAGAAGTCGAAGAACATCATTCGTCTTTATCAGAAATTGACACAGACACCGTTAAAAATGTTGAAAATATTACAGATAATAATGACTCAATAGTATCAACTGAACCAATCTGCAATGGCGAYGAAAAAGACACGAATGCTTTAAATGAATTTGTAGATAATTTACGTGACAATTTAACAGTAGTTGAAGCAGACTCAGAGAAAAGTAGAAATAAAATGGTAAAACAAGGAGCAAGACCTAAAGAAAATACAAAAAAGAACTCTTCCAAAGCAGCTCCTCACTTGTCGAACAGACAGAGAAAGGAACTAGCAAAACAAGAGAAGAAAAAGCGCAGAGAAGAAAGGAGAAAAGAGGACGAGCACACTGAAGATGGTAGCAGTTTCAATATTAAAGATAATGATAGTTCGAGTTCACTTATAGCTGATCTTGGTGCAGTTTGTATTTGAATAAAAAATGCTGAAATTTTAAACGTCAAAATAGTGGTATTTTTATTCAGGCCATTCTGAATTTTTTGCCAGAAGCTAAAAAAAGAAAAAAAAAATTAAAAGAAGGAGAAGAAAAGAAAAAAGCGCTCTCTTGAGAGAGTTCCATTGTATTGGTACATTGATGGTAGTTCGAGTTCACTTCTATAGCTGATCTTGTTGGAGTTTGTATTTGAATAAAAAATGTTGAAATTCTAAACGTCAAAATCATTGTCTTCTTATTCAGGCCATTCTAAGATTTTTGAAGAAGAAGAAAATGTAAAAGAAATTAAGGAAAAGAAAAGCAAAAAGCGAGCGTTCCATTGTATTGGTACGTTTCTCTTGTCCCAAATTAAACCTGTTGTTCTTTGTTCTCAGGCGAAACTCCTAGAACCATACTAATCCTTTTTAGTTTTCTTTTTCTGGACCTGTGTTCACATCTAAATTATTGATTGCTTACAAATAATGAACTCTTTTGAGTAAAAAGAACTAATTCAAACAAAAGATCAGGTAACACTGATAAAAGAAAAAAACTACTTCAAATGAATTACTGCGAATTCCTGCGACTTTTAGTTATAAAGTACTCAAAACTGATGTCAAATTTCGTGTCTTTTATATCGTGAAGCTTTTATTTAATCTCCCATATTTAGTCTCCCATATTGAAATCCTCTTTATTTTGAGCAATTTATCAATATAAGTCAAAATATACAACACAGAATCTTTCGGATGATTCATTAAGATGATTTTTTTTATTTGTAAAAATTAATGCACGGACCTTTATCCAACAGTACGCAAACTATTGAACAAATATTATTATTATTGAATARACAATCAATTTTACACATAGATGCGAGGCTTTTCCCGTCTGYGYTTGGTTTTTAAGTATTCAATTGATTACCTAAAGTAACCTTGTAATAATCAAAAGTTTGGCTTGCTGTCTCGTTARYCGCACGCGCACGGTGCGTCAAGAGAGGTACAAAGATCTCGTTGGAAGAAGTGACTTCGTTATTTATGAAATATTTATAGGCGAAGCTTAAGTATAGTTTATTCAAATCTCAATTTCTTACATTTAACAGATCGAGATGTCGACAACAGACCTCTGAAGCTTTTATGTAACTTATACGGATTGCATTGTAGGATATGTTTGGGACAGAAGATGGCCAAGTTCTTGTATTTTCTCCAGAATTTAACCGATGCCACAATGCTTTGAAAATCACGTTGTGGCGTAAAAGGTTCAGAAGTCTATTAGATGCATGCAACGTTCGTTCAATTTTTCGATGGTGTCTTTACAAGAATAGCTACTCTTCACATCGTGTGGTATAATCGCAAAAAGATAACCGCCATCATACACCTTGAGGTGATTATTGCCAGCTTTAACAGCGAAACCACATTTTCCCGCAAAGTTTATCAGCTTCTGACGCTTGCAATCACGAGGGTATTGGAGCGCCCTGAGCCGGCGAACTTCAGCTGCCAATCAAATGTAAATGTGAATTGAAATATGAGAAATTATTAGGAATTACTTTAGAGGTTTTTCCCTTCCTTTCTTTTCTATTTTTCATTAATTTTTATTAATCTTACCATTTTCTTCCTCGTAAAACTTTCCATTAGCTTCAGTCAGACTGGCGGCCAACAGAAACAGAACCAACAGGAAAAACGTAATACGCATGTCTGAAATTCTTTCGTATTCAAGTACTAAAGAGAGATAGCGAATGTTTGATCATTTAGCCAAAAACAAAAAACAAAACAAAAAGAAAAAACAAAGAAAAAGAAAAAAAAAAGATTGATTAATTTCTTACCTTAAAAACTAGCCTTTTCCTCTAAAGCTTTGAGTGTCCTTTCTTCACCGCGATGAAATGATGAACAGAATGTTCCGATATTAAATTTCATCTCTTTAAATACCTAACCTATTAAAAAAAGCTTACTTTATCAATAATGCATACTATTTAAACAAAATCAATCGTCACCTTGCTCCAATGCGATTACAACAATTAATTATTAACCTTTTAAGGAAGAAA